ATCAAGTGTAATAAGACTCAAGTCAAATGGCCCAGCTGTCACAGTAAAATACAGCCTATTGACTTCCTTCTCACTAGGGAAAAGCACGGCTTGCCACTTACCACAGACAGCTTGGAGAGAAAGTATCACCCTAAGAACTGCAGGAAGGAGTGTCCCATGTAGCTGAAAGGCACAAAATAAATCTGGTTGCATGTGTCCCTCGTAGATAACCACATGTTTTCATAAGAGGTGAGGGTGGGCTATGTAATTACCTTACCTAAAGGGTCAGGAAATAAGTAGTACAATAGTTAAAATACTAACGGAGGTGAGCAGCAACATTTTAAAAAACCATTTAAAAAAGATTATTAAGTACCACCTAGGTACAAATTCCTAGTAGAGAGGAGTGGGGAGGGACAGCGGCTTACACAAAGATGAACAGGATGGAGCCTGCTTTCCAGGCTTTTGGAATCTTATCTGGAAGCTAAGCATATACATATATAAATCTAGTAGTTATAGATTGTGGCGAATGTTGTAACTGAGGTAGTAAGGAAATTTAGGGTGAATGTAGAAAAAAAAGATTGTTTCTAATTGGATGCAGGCAAATGAGTTAAATTCAAAAGGAAGAATAAGTTGAACCTTAAAGCCTAATATGTGGACTGCTGACTAATATGTAAATATCACTGACTCCATCATGGTAGGGCAGGATTAAGAGTGCCGTGTTTGGCAGTTAAAGAGTGCTGTTACATATGTTATTCATATGGCTGTCTTAATATTAACAGATGGTTTAGGTAATTAGAATCTGAAAAATAGTGTTAATGAATTTAAAAATTAGGGTATGCTAAAAATTATTAAAATAATTTCCCACAGCTTCCTCACTATGATTGTGTGTATACATATTTTGGGATGACCATGTCATGTAAAATGGCAGCTAGTAGACTCTATGTGTCCACATTGCTTCAGTCTACTGACCTTGCCTCCTTGCCGTATCCTATTCAACCAGAACCCAAAATACAAATGTCATTCAAAATGATATTTAAGTAAAGTCTATTCTCATAGGATCAACCAGTACTAATGTTAATGTTCATTGAATTCAACGAGTTGTGTATGGACTGTTAAGCTGCATATTTCCTTTGGTGTGAATACTGGTATTGATTAGTTGAGGAATAAATAGCTTGGCTTCTCTCAAGAAATAGCACTTCATAATGTCTAGAATCTTCTTAACTTAGATATGTCTAATGTATATACACAACTGAGTAAGGAAAGCTATTTAAGTATGTGTCAGTGAGCCCAGACCTTTAGAGCTGGGAGCGAAAAATGATTTAATTATTTCAGTTCTTCCCATAATACTTATCCACTGTAATAGGATGCCTCTCAACTCCTTTGCTCCGTGTTACTACCATGAGGAAGTAACTCATATTGATCACTCTTGTAATCATTTGTATAGCATGGGTGGGCATGTGGGAATGCTGCTCTTTGCTGTGGATCAGCAGAAGAGGAGATGAGCCCTAGATGTCCTGCAGTCCACTTCCTCTCAAAGATTGCTGACACTAGTCCACACGGCATCGTGCTGCCAAGTTAGACAGCTCTGGGCTGCCACTGATGTGAAGCATACCTGGCCCAAGGGAGAGAACTGCTCTTGGTGATAAAATGTACAGTTTTCTTGGAATTTTAATTTGTTCCAGAATTTCCTTCCAGAAAGCATATCCTGGTAGTGTGCTGTGGTTAGTATGAAGAGTAAAATGGCAGGAGAGAAAGAATATGAGGTGATAATATGAATTAAAATGTCTATAGTGTTTTCCAGATTATATATTATTTAATTTAATGCTCACAATTGTGCAGTGATAAAAGTATTATTATCAGCCTTATGTTACAGGTAAGGAAATTGAAGTCTGGAGGTATTAGGTAGTTTGGCCAAGGTAATTTGCTAATAGGTGGAAGAGATGAAAAAAAAAAATACTAATCCCTAATATTGAACCAGACACTCTGCCTATGCTCTGCATGAATTAGCGAATTCAGTCCTCACAACAGCCCATGTGGCAGAGGCTAGCACTAGCCCCCCTTGTTTTTTAATGTATGAGAAACTAGGTAGCAGAGATCACTTAGTTTCAGGGATAAAGACTAGCCTGGAAACCAGACTCCTGCACCCATTCTACACTGTGTAACTCTAGTCACATGGCATCTTTTGACTGCAGTTTGAGATTTCTATCCATGTACTTTGCTAAGTAAGATATGTCTATAAAGTGCTTTGCACATAAAAAATTCTGTAATCAAGAGCTATTAATTAACGTGTGATTAATGAAGGTATTTTTGCCTATTATCTTTATTATAAAGATTTCTTGTGATTTTACAACTATTGTTAGGATTAGTGAATGCTGAATTTCACTGAGCCTTTTCTTGTGTAAGGTTTTTTTCCAGGTTGTCGTTGGTAAGACTGAAATTCAGGGACAAAATGCGACTTTTTTAAATTGTTAAGGTGTCAGTAGGAAGTCAGGCCAGCAAGGCATAGTGATAGTTACTACCCTTTACTGGTCATGAGCAGCCTGTGTGCTCACAATATCATTTTTTAAATGCTTTGCAGTTTTCCAAGTGCTTTCAAATGCATTCTTTCATTTGTTCCTCACAACAACATTGTCAGGTGGCTATTATTATCCATGTTTTACAAATATGGAAACTGAGACCCCGCATGAGAGGGTAAGACCCGGTTCACACAACTAGGAAATGGAGGAGCCAAATTCCAGAGAAGACTCCCTGACCTGAATCACAATGCTTTTCTCACTACACATTGCTTCCTCCTAGCTTTGTAGGTTCTGAGGGAAATTCCCCCATGTACAGACATTGGAACCCTGATCTAACTAAACTTAAAGCCCCCGTCAAATGGAGAGACCTGCTTACAGGAGCCTGGAAGGGACCTGATGTACTTTTAACCTGGGGGAGAGGACATGCTTGTATATTTCCACAGGACGCAGACTCACTGTGTGGATTCCAGACCGCTAGTCCGACCTTATGTCTCACCGCCCTCCATCTCTGCCTCACCCTAGCCCAACTGACCAGTGCCCATCTGCAACAGATGTGCAGCTCTGAGCTGGAACAACCTGTCCATTGGGAGGCTCACATGTGCCTCCTTTTTATCTGTCCATATGTCCCACCTTTGCCCCACATCTCCTTTCCTTTTTCTTTTTCTTTTTTTTAATCTGACTACTTGTTTGCTGGTTCTTTGGCCTTTCTCCTTCTCTCCTGAACACAGCCTTTTCTAGAATCTCCCTACCCTACTATTCCAGGAAGGGCACCTCGCTTTTCTGCCGTGACTAGGGCGTGTCTGGTATATGCCCCATACGTGGAGTTGTCTTGTGCCAAGAGTCTGACATCCTGGGCTGAGAAAGCCCTGTCCCGGGACTACATGATGACAGGCCGTTCCTCCTTTGTCCTGTATTGGCCCTTCTTGCCCTTGTGTCAAGAGGACCCTCTTCTCACAGTCCATTTGCCCACAGCTGTTGCCTGGGCTTTCTGTTTACGCTGAGGTTGAGGCCTCGTGGTGGCCGGTGCCATGGATCTGTCTCTCGCCCAATGGTGTGAGCTGGCCCTTCCTGGAGAAGAAACCTGTCTTCCCCAAGATATGTGACCAGAGCCGGGGCCCCGCCAGCAGGCGAGGGGATCCCAAGGCAGTTGCTGGGCGTGGAGGCCACAGGGGCATAGGCTACCAAGGAGACAGACTGAACCTCACATCACCCTGCTTGGCCTCGGAGGATGGCTGGTTAGCCAGAATCGGGTCAGATTCCTCAGGGAAGGAACAACCTAAGACAGGCACAGTCACAAAGGGGCCATCAGGAGACAACTTGGGGGTCAACAGAGGTGGGGCACAGACCCTCACGCCCCCCAACATTGCAGAGGCCTGAACCCTCACCCCTTCTGAGGGAGGTCTCCTGCCCCAATGACTGCTTCGCTTCCCACGCCCAGCTCAGATCAGGACCCAGGTAAAGACAGAAACTGGCTGACAGCAGCTGCCGTCTCACTGCAACAGGACTTGTTTCCCATTTCTACCTTGGACCACAGGGAAAGGGGCAGCTGAAGGAAAGGGCTGTGTCAGGATGCTGCCTTCTTCCCTTTCTTCTCCCTCTTTTTTCTAAACACTTCCATGCCTTGTAGTTCTTTTGCTTTCTCTTCTTTTTCTCTCTACTACCCTCCATCTCATCCTCCTCCTCCCCGGTACCATCCATATCGGCCGACCCAGAGGGCACAGCTGACTTCTACCTGGACACCGGCACCACCATCAAGCACGGCCCTGATGGACCCTTTGATCCACCCGTTCAACTCGCTGACACTTCGGGAAACCCGTCACCAATGACACCGCCTGCTAACCAGATCAACTAACCAGATCTGCTAACCAGATCAACAAGGACAACCAAACCCCTGACTTGAGGACAGCTGAAATCCCTTGACTGAAGAGGCCAGCAACCTTCTACAGGAACAAGGCTCCTTGTGCACTCCATCCACTATGTTTATTGCTATGCTCGCTATCATTACTTGTCAGTCTTCTTCCGAGTCTTAAACAACCCAATCCGAGAGGTGGCCGCTGATTTACATGCGCTATCATTTAAAAAAATAAAAAAGGGGGAATTTGCCAGAAGCCGGTCCATCCTTGCTGCTTGACACAGTCGCTACAGGGAAGAAACATCTGCACAGCATATGTTTCAAGAGACCTGGTGTATATGGCATACTGTTCTTAATATGTTTGCTCCCTTTCTTGGCGCTATGTGTTTTAACCAAGGTCACCTCTCCAAGAAAGGTTGTTTCCCAAGGTAGGGATTTTTCCCTGAAGTTAGGGAGGGAATAAAACCCCTTAACTAAGTGCCAGGCGGGTAGCTAATCACTTTAACTACGAACAATCAGCTTAAGCTACATAATCTTTACTCCCTGGAATCTCTATTCCTAACCTTTGGAATAGAAATTGATAGGATTAAAATCAACTGGTATAAGTAGAGATGTAATAAGAAAATAAAAAACAGAACTTGGAGTCAGCTAAGATGGCGACTCCCATGCATCGACTCATAGCCTGGAGACAAGCTGAAGCAAATAAGCAACATGTAAGATGTCAGAAATGCTTGGAATTTGGACATTGGACTTACGAATGCACAGGAAAAAGGAAATACCTACATAGGCCTTCAAGAACAGCAGAACTAAAGAAAGCTTTAAAAGAAAAAGAAAACAGATTATTATTACAACAAAGGTCTAAGAGTGTAACCAGCTCCAGTAGCAATAGCAGTGACAGTTCAGCCAGTGATTCTTCATCAGAGAGTGAAGAAACATCTACCTCATCCTCCTCTGAAGACAGTGATACTGATGAAAGCTCCTCCAGTTCATCATCTTCAGCCTCCTCCACGAGCTCTTCCTCATCCTCTGATTCAGACTCAGATTCCAGCTCTTCCAGTAGTAGCAGCACCAGCACGGATAGCAGCTCCGAAGATGAACCACCAAAAAAGAAGCAAAAGAAATAGAGTCACTTTACCTATATTGGACTGATGGACCATAAACTTTAATCTGATTCTCAAAAGGGAATTTAGAATATGTTAAAGCCAAATAGATTAACTGGCCCAAAACAAACAAACAAACAAAAAACAAACAAAAAAAACCAGAACTTGGCTGGAGATCCTGGCTAGGCTGCTGATCAACTGAACACTGTCTCCGTGTCATTCCTTCTTCGCCGACTCTGTCCACACCTTTGGGGGCCCCTGGGCCTGCTGGGATTTGACCCCAACAACTAAGATTTCTCATATTTCCCTTATATTCGTTATGAGCTATCATAATTTGAAAATGCAAACGTAATAAAGTATCACATGAACAAAAAAGGGAAATTTGATGGTCTTACCACTGAAATCTTAAAAAAAAAAAGTCATTTCAACAAATATTCATCCAACACATATTTATTTAGTCCCTACTTTGTCATTGACATTGTGTTAAATTATGTGAGGTATATAAAAAAGCAGGGATGGGAATGCTGGGAGAAGTTTTCAGCTCAAGTTAACACATAAATATATGTGTTATATATTTATATATAAATATACAAATATCAATGATGAGGGAGAATCATTAATCAGTTGCCTCACTGGGGAGAGAGCCTGCTACCCAAAGCATATGCCCTGACCTGTGGAACCATGACCTCCTGGTTCATAGATCAGTGCTCAACTACTGAGCCATATCGGCTGAGCAGGTCAACACATTTTTAGATGTAAAACAATTTATAGGAATCATGTCAAGATAACGATTTTCATGCATTAATTTATAGTTAAACTAAAATCAAAGATAAATTTGACATAGGTACAAACATGGTAGCTGTGTCTTATTTATCTTTATGTTGCACATAATACTTGGTTCAGTGTCTTTCCAGTTGAATGAATGAAGAAATGAATGAATAGAAGCATAGAGTTAGGGCCCCATCTCTTGGGAGCTTATGGACTAAATGAAAGATATGAAACCAAATGAAATAAAATACCAGCTGGATAGATGCCTATCGGGTATAGAGAAGAGAGGTATAATTTCTAGGTGAGATGATCAGGGAAAGCTTTGTGGAAGACACACTTATTGAAGGATGGATAAATAATAAGGATTTCACTTATCCTTTGAGCAACATATGGATAAAGTAGCGAAAATAAGAAGCAGGGGATTGAAATCTTCCAGCACCTTGTAGGTGGGCATAGCAGGCATTCAAAACACTTTTGTTGAATGAATGAACAAAAGTTTTAATATATTATCTTTTAAAAGTAAAATTCTGTTGCAATATCTTGGTGTTTCTCAGAATAAGTTAGATAAGAACTGTCAAAACACGGTGATCAAAGATCTTGCCATACTTAGTTCAGTCCTTGTTGAAATCACAGAAGTATCTTAGAGAGTGCTTTACTCTGTTAGAGATATTTAATAAGCCTATAGATTCAGAGAAGCATTTTGGGCGTATAATCAAAGAGTACAAAAAAATCTTTGAGAGTTTGCATCATTTCCTTGAGAGGGAGAAACACCAAGCCAAAAGTCTTCAGTTCTGTCCTCATTCCTGACTTATCCCATTTAATTTTAACATCTTTTGGCATCCTGGCCATAAAGCTAGGATATGAGAATGCCTGCTTGATTCTGACCTTCAGTGATACTCTGGTCTTCACATTGATCACTTACTTTTATTTCTTTTCATAGAAAACCACTTGCAGTGCCTCCTAGGTTACTCTCAGAGCTGGGAATTCTATACCAACAATAAACAGAAGCATTATTTACCATAAGGCATTTTCCCATTTGATGGCAATGACTCACAGTGCTTTCCTTTACTCAAGAGTAGAATAATAATGCTCCCACATGAAATTTAAGTTTTTTTTATGTTTCTAAATTTTACCCAGGGTAGTAATCATCAAAAGAATGAATAAGAGCATAAAGCATGAATTATGGAGGTGGAACTTCAGTTCGCTGTTATTACAACAACAAGTAATAAATGTACTCAATGGACTTTCCAGATGTACTTTTATCTGATTCCCTTTAGAAACATTTTGGAGAGTAGTAAAAAAAAAGTCAACAATGTTAATATACTAATGTAAATTATTTAATGTTTTTGGAGATCACATTTGATGCTTCATATGTATTTTCACTGAGAAGCCCCTTTTGAACTGGGTGCATGCATATGTTCAGTAAAGTTCAAATAATTGGAAATTTTGACTCCCAAAACCATGATGAACATTTTTTCACAAAATAACCTAAATTATTGAATCCTGACTCTTAAAAATGTGTGTGTGTGTGTGTGTGTGTGTATGTGTGTGTTGTTAAGGAGTTTGTTAACAGGAAACAGTAGCCCGAGGCCTCAGGCATTTTTTACTTATGTGTACAAGCAGGACCCAGAGAGAAGAGTTAGCCTTTCCTGCCCCTGGAGGCTCCATTCACTGTGGGTTTGCAGTTGTGAGGAGTACAGAGTCTTGCCTTTGACTTCTAGGCCCCTTTGGTGACTGACACCATACAGAAGTTACAGCTTCTTCCAGACTGCCCAAATTCTTTGGGTTTTAATGGCAACGGTGTGCAATAATGGTGGAGATCAAGCTCAGCAATGCTAGAGAACTTCTTGCAAAAGAGTCTCTGAGATTTCTAGGAAGTTGATCACATATGAATGAGGAAAATGACTGTTCATAAGCTTTATGACCATTTTTAAGTTGTTTAACAATAACTTGGGCTGAAAAACCCCAGGATAGGAGAAAATTGACTTTATCAAAAGTGACTTGGAGCACTTGAATATTAAAAGAGGTATGACCCAGCTGGATAGTAGGAAGTACATTTACTGAGAACAGATAGGGAGGAATTATCCAAGAGTTGCCTATTCTTGCTTTTTTATACATATGAGGAAGTGGAGCCGGTATTGATTGTGAGCTTTGCCCGAGGTCACACACACAGTGTGACTCTGAACTAGGGGGAAAAAACTAACTTTTTTACTTCTCAAGTATCTGCTCTTTCAACGCTCTTTCTACCAACTGTAGATTCCTTTCTTTACTCTAAAGAAATGAACTGAAAACTGGAAAAAATTGAACAAGCATAGTTAACGGGTATTTGAAGTTCAGCAAGATCAGTTGCAGGAGAGCACTTATGTGTGCTATAAATCAGTAAATTAACATATTAATTCAGAGTCATAAAAATTACATATTAGGATCCTGAAAGATATTGCAGATGTAAATTTAGAATCACAATCTTGGATAAGTCTTAATGAACAACAATTCTTTTTAAAAAGAAATTGGAAACAGATTGTTGAATCTCAGAGGGAAGGTGGGGGAGGGTGGATGGGTACAAAGAGATCAACCAAAGGACACAGACAATAGGGTGAAGACCTGGGGCAGGGGTGGCGGTGAGCTAATGGGGAAGGGAGGGGACATATGTAATACTTTTGACAATAAAGATTAAAAAATAAATAAGATTCTGGAAATTTGAGAAATCCGGTAACATACTCTAAAAACTGTCATGCTGTTCTCTCCCATCTATAAATGGACAGGGTTTAGTTAGATTAATCTTTTCAATTTTCAAATAAATATAATCCAACATTTTGGGGATAAGTAAATGTTGTAGGATTGATCAGACTAAGAAAGGTCCTAGTAGGCTGTTTTAAGAATGTAATTAAAAATTGAAAACATGCCCTGGAGCCTGGAGTCAAAACATTGGCTGTAAATAATTTAGTAAGAGTTTTCATATACTAGTATGTGTATATATATGAGAAAGAGAGGCGGGGGTGGTGGGGTGGGGGGGTTATGGATGAGTTATACATATTTTTTCTAAGGAAATACCTTAGGAAATAGGTATGACTCTGAATGAGCTTGGCAGGAGGATGAGTATTGCTAACGGTTGGAATATGTAAATAGATTTTAAAAGAGATAACATCTTATTTATATAAAATTCTAGGCCAAGTTTTAAATCTTCCAGGAAGATATTTTCTCTGATTTTCATAGGCTATATTTATTTGATCTTTCTCTAACTTCTGTTGCTCTTAGAATCAAGAGCATGCAGGCTATTCCATAATTAATTTTTACTTATATCAAATATGTGCAATGGCCAGGTTACATATTACAGGAGATACATATATGAAAAGGTAATTGGGTTTATCAGCTTCTTGAGGTCATCTGGAAAAGTCTTCATTGTTCTGAAAGTTCAGTTACAGTTTATGAGGGAGAGAAGGAATTTCCGTTAGAATTTAGGAATTCTAAATAGAGGGCCAGGAAGTAAGCCATGGCTAGACTACAGAGTTTCTGATGGTATAAGGTCAGAGATGAAGCTGGCACTATAGGGTGGGATCATATTATGGACAGCACACAGAATGGGAGAAAAAATGTGCAAACCTATATCTGATAAGGAACTTATATCTAAAATATACAAAGAATTCTTACCACTCAGTTATAAAAAGACAAATAATCCAGTTTAAAAAATGGTCAAAGGATCTGAACAGAATAGACTTTTATCCAGTGAAGATATACCAATCTCCATGAGGCACATGAAATGATGCTTAACATCATTAGTTGGTAGGGAAATATAAATACAAATGACAACGAAATACCATTTTATACCCATCAGAATGGCTAAAACATAAAAGTCAGATAGCAAATGTGAAGGATATGAAGTAATCAGAACCTCCTACACTTTTGGTAGGAATGTAAATTGATGTAGTCACTTAGAAAACGACCTGGTAATACTTCAAAAGTTAAACATAGTAATACCGTTTGACCTAGCAATTTCATTTCTAGGTATGTAGCCACCAAAATTAAGACTTATGTTCACATAATAACTTGTATATGAGTATCCATAGCAGCATTATTTATGATAGGTGAACAATAGAAACCCAAATATTAATCAACTGGTGAATAAGTAAACAAAATGTGGTATATCTCATACATGAATATTATTCGCTATAAAAAGGATTGAATACTAATACATACTGCAACATGGATGGACCTTGAAAACATTATATAAGTAACAAAACCTAGCTTCAAAAGGCTACATATTATATGACCCCATTTATATGAAATATTCACAATAGTCAAGTCTATAGAGACAGAAAGTAGATTAGTAGTTGCTTAGGGCTAGTGGTGGGAGG